TTTCACCTGCAAACTAATTTTGTAGGGATAAGTTATATGAAATTTTAATTTTAATGTAATATCAGAGTCGATTCAAGATCCGTTGAACTAATTGCTATTAAGATTTTGTTATGAGATCGTCCACCACTTATATTTACTTTTTAAATTTTCGTCACGGAGGTGAAGGTGTGTTGAAGAGTCGCAGATGAAAAATATGATCTTAATAAATATTTATTAGCAGAGATAATTTTTATCTTACAAATTAATTTTATAAACATGAATTAATTCAAACTCTAATTTTAATATGATATGATAATGTTTATATAAAATGACATCTATCATCTCCAAGTCAATTTTATAAATATTCAGTTTACTATATTCGCCTAATTCATATTGGATAGCTTTAAGGATATGTTACACACAAAAATTACATATATTTAAGAGTTATTCACAGCCTTTTAAAAGGTATTGATTTTAATATTTTATAGTCAAATTTAACTCCTCGACTTCATGATGCAAATTTATATATCTCTTAAATTGAGTTATTTGCATTCGAAGCTGGAAAAAAAATTTTAGATTGTACTTTTTTATTTATTTAACTTTAGTCTTCTGAGCACTTTTTAATGATATTAATAACATAGTTTTATATTTTTCTTGGATATTGTTTCAATTTAATATTTGTTTTATATTTATCTTTGATATTGTTTCAATTTAATATTTATTAATTTGTATTAATATTTAAAGCCGTCTTTAAGAAAGGTAAGATATATCGATATAATTAAAATATTTAATGATTTAATTGTGATTAAATAAAACTAAAAAACGATAAAAAGATTTTTATTTATTTTGATATGGTTAAATTACAACAAATTTATATGAGTCTGAAGACTATATTATTGACACCAATCGATAAACTGGATTTAGTTATTTTGCATAACTATATACTCTATGTAGGATGAATATATTTACAATGTAAGCACACTAAATTAACACATCCCTACAATTTTAAGCAAAAAATTGGTTGTTTACTATCAAAGCAACTAACCAAAATGACATTTCAACTATGAAAAAACTTCAACCAAATGGCAGATAGACATTAAACAGAGTTTTCAACTTTCACCCCTAAATCAGAGGAAACCCAATTCTTCCACTTGTACTACTGTACACTATTCTCAATCAACTTCACCCATCACTATCCCCAAAAAATAACTAACTATAAGGGCACCAAAGTAATTTCAATCAATGCCGGCGAAATCATTCTTTATCTCTACATAAATTTTGCCGCTTCGGCTCATAACCGTTTCATAACAGCAAAACCAACAAACACACTCTTCCAAGCTTTCTCCGATGAAGACTCTGAACACTTCTCCGGCGAAACTTCGTCAACACAGAAACCGAGAAATCGCTTCGAGGCATTTTCCATCCCCTTCCACCTCCATGGAATCCACCGAATTTCATTCTCCGAATTCTCCTTCCTCGGTGATACGTAAATCATCAATTAGAAGCTCCGATGACGATGGAAGATACAAAATGACTGAAGAATCTGTTTTACGCCGTCAACTTTGGCCTTCTAGGTCGAAAAATAGCAACTCCGGCACGCTCGCTGATCACATCACTGAAGAAAGAATCATTGAAGAAAATGAGAAAAACAAAAACAGCAAAAGCAACTACAAAAATAGTTCCACTATTTCACAAAAGAGTTTCAGGGAGTTTAGAAGATTTGAAAACGATGAAAGTAGAGAAACCGGTGGTTCTGTGAGATACACTGGAAAATTCGTTTCATCTTCTTCATTGAAGAAGCTTAATTCTAATAATGGTTCAGTCATTGTACCGGGAAGATTTTCCTTAGATAAAAATACGAAACTATTGTCTTCAAAGGGAAACTCAAGCTTAACTAGTTCTCTTGACACTGAATCCAGCGATGACGTTTTGGTTTCGGTTTCTCCGGCAAGAAAAGCAGTGGTGGAAGCTCCTTCAAGGTTCTTGAGTGATGAGGTTTTGGTTTCGGTTACTCCGGCAAGAAAAGCAGTGGTGGAATCTCCTCCAAGGTTCATGACTGATGCAACAATGAGAAGATCTAGAAGAGGGGCTTCGGATTCCAATATTGGAAATTTGAGTGGCGATTTGGTTAGACCGACCATTAAGAGGACCAATTCGATAACAGCTTACAAGAGTTCGAAATCTCAGTGGGCATTGTCGCCCGGTAGGTCAGAGATTTCGAGCTCCACAAAGGCTAAAGGAGTTGAAAAACTGATCAACTTCGGTTTTGATCTCTTCAAAAGTAAAAAACCTAGTGGCCTTAATGTGTCGTCGACTGTTTTTGGTAATAATGAAGATGTTCATAAGCTTCGTTTGCTTGATAACCGTTTGATTCAATGGCGATATGCAAATGCTAAATCAGAAGTTGTGAATGCAAACATTTCTCACCGAGCAGAGGTACGAATGTTTGTCTCACATTTAATGACATCTTTATCAAATTAGGGCGTTGAAATAGATTGAATCTGGTTTAGAGAGATGTCGTAAACTATTTTTATAATCTCTTAAAACAAAGTTTGTCTTAAATTTTATGTTATACATGACAAGATAAAGTTGTAAATAAGCTAACTCCAAATGCATGTATAACTCTTTTTTCTTTAAGTGATCTTTATATTAAATGAGAAATTGAGCTAACATTTTTTGGTTTTTTGAATGTTTATAGAGCAATTTGATTTCCGTTTGGGATGGTCTCACAAAGTTCCGGAATTCTGTTATGAAAAAGAAGATACAGTTTGCAAAAGAAAAGCTTGAAATGAAGATAGCTTTTATACTGTATTACCAAGTAAGTAGTAAACTTAATCTAACTAATATCAATATACCAATTTGTTATAGTAATGAATTCACTCCTAACACATGTATTTGTTGTTTTTGGCAGTTGAAGTTGTTGGAAACATGGGGAAGCATGGAAAGGCAACATGTATCGACAATTACTTCCACCAAAGATTGTTTGCATTCTGCTGTGTGCAGAGTTCCTCTTTTGGAAGGTGCTAAGGTACATAGACATGTCTTGTAAAGAGTCTAAATGATAACTTTGAATTTAATGAACGGTTAGAATTTCAATGATTAAAATGTCTTTTAACTCTAGACATGTGCAATGAAACTTTTTATATGTATGTATAGTCTAAGTGATCGTGATACAGATGGGATGGTGCACTGACAGATTTGTATGCCTAACTTACAGGTGAACATACAATCTATATCCATTGCTATTCGTCACGTTTTTGATCTCACAACTTCCATGAAGTCAATGTTAACTTCTTTTTCTCCTGCGGTATGTTTTTTATAGTTGTTATTTCAACAATAAAATTTAGGCAATTTTTGCACAATTTTTTAGGTAGTTAATGCAATTCAAATATGATTAACTAATACACAGATATCAAAATTCATTAACCATTAATGTAACTTCATTAACTACCAATTTAGACGTGATTAACCACAACTTTCAAGTGTTCAAATCTACGTATCTTTGAACACCTGAAAATTATGGTTAAGTATGTCGGAATTCAGGATTAATGTAGTTGCATGATTGCATTGGTGGTTAATGAGTTTTAATATTTGATATATGCATTAACTACATACCTAATGTAATTAAACCATATATTTGAACTGCGCAAACCATTCAAATTGTTGTCAAATTTTGTGTCATCATATCATTTCTCTTTTATCATCTATGGAACTGCATTCATATGGGAAGTTTTTTCTCTATCAACAGGCTGATAAGACTGCTGCAATACTATCAGATTTGGCAAAAGTTGTTACACAAGAGAAGCAACTTTTAGAAGAGTTTTATGATCTTTTACACACCATATCTGTCTTTGAGGTATTGTTATTATTGTGTATATTCAGTGCTTGTATGCTTATTAGACATAAAATCCTTACCTCAGTTCATTGATGTATGGTTGATTTTTATCACTATTTATGTTGACAGCTTCAAGAAACAAGTGTAAAGTGCAACCTCATTCAATTTGAAGGTTGGAAAAGGAAATATCAACTGCAACAATCAGTACTGGAGCATAAGAGATTACTGCACAATCATAAGTTTCTTATGTAGATAATAGATCAGCAAAACTGACAAATATATGAGATATCTTGGTATAAACTACTAGTAGAATTTTTAACAAACAAAAGTATAGATTGACATATATGTTGCTAATTGGGCTAGTTTTGTAATTGTATGTATACATGATACTCAAATCAAACCTATAACATGTAGATTAGTTTACTTACTAATGTGATGACATAAATGTTCCAATTTTACTTTCCAAGAGCAGAGTTGATCTAAAAGTGTATGTTTGAACAACACAAATTAGAGTGTGTTTGCATGAGAAATTTTAATGAGAAAATTTTGTGTTTTTTATGGATATCTTAGTGATTGGGGGTGTAGAGAGTTTTTTCCTCTAATGATATATAAGAACAGAGTCCATTGGGCCATAATTTGTTACTAGCCCACAAAACAAAAAACAAAATTTTTGTTTCTGATTCGTGAGAGCCGAGGTTCTTCGTTTCTTTTCCCGACATCAACTGAATCTGGTATTCTTATTTTATTATAATCTCGATTCTTTTTCTCCCTGATTCTGTCGATAAAGCTTGAAACCTTGCAGAACGATTCTTCAAGTTATTGTCTTTATTGTATTGTTGTTTGCTAAATTATTCATATGGTTTTAGATTCAAAGAGGTAGGAGATGATGACAACGATAGATTCGTAAAAAACTAGGATATATTCTCAATTCACTGTTCGTAAAAATAATATGGTGTGGATGATTTTACTGTGAGATTGATCCATACACCCATTTGATCCAATGGTTGTAAAACATGCTCTATTGTGGACCACCTAGTTTGGTACTCCACAATATATTTAGATAAGATTTTATTTCTTGATGTATTTGTGGTGTAAAATTGATTGAGGAACGTGTTTTGTGGTACTGTTTTCTAAATCCACAATGCTGAACAGTTTCAGTGTGTGATTTACAAAGTGAAAAAAAAAAATGCTGAAGTCAATTCTAGGTTGCTGCAAAGTGTATATATCAGAGAGCAGAAACAAGAGTGCATTGGAATCAATTGAAAGAGCTGCGAAGCATTTTCCCTTAGCACCAATAATTAACAAGTTTGAAGATGCGGCTTACAATAGAGTTGGTTACACACTTGTTTCTGAGTTGAGTTCAGTGCCCTCGGAACAGTCATGTCATTTGACAAATGCGGTGTTGGCTATGGTAAAGGCTGCATTTGATACTGTTGACTTTGAGCTTCATAGTGGAACTCATCCTAGACTTGGAGTGGTGGATCATATATGTTTTCATCCTTTGGTTGATGCTTCCTTGGATCAGGCGGCTAGGACGGCGAGGTGTTTAGCTACTGACATGGGTTCTAAGCTACAAGGTTAGTAGTAGTAGCGGCACACTATCTAACACATCTGAAAAAAGATGTGTCCATGCCCGTGTCCATGTCAGACCCCTGCACTAATACTTTTGTACGTTTATTTTATTCATTTTTTCAAATTATTACCAATGTCGTCATGTCAGTGTCGGTGTCATGGTCGGGGTGTGCTTGCTTCATAGCACGAAAGACAGAAATGATCGCGTTTTATTATATTTTATTATGAGTTTAACAACTTTACATCAATGATGTAGTTATCAACCAAAAGCCTAATAGGAACCTTCACCACTATTATCAAAGGAATATGTCCTAGATTTTGATCTTGCCTTAGTAGATTTTGCACTTCAGGATCAAAATTACTCATTTTGTTGGGTGTTTCCATATTCGCAAATGATGAATTTTGTGATCACCATTTTGTATGCTACAAAAGTGATTATTTATGGAACTGTCTATATTAGTATATGTTGATCATATTTTTAAATTAGTTCAATTACACATCAATGATAATCAAAACTACCTGCAGTTCCTACTTTCTTATACGGAGCGGCACACGAAGAGGGGATGAAACTTGATTCAATAAGAAGAACATTTGGTTATTTCAAGCCAAACTCCAGCGAAAACCAATGGATTGGGGTGTCCAAATCCGACACTTTGCCACTGAAACCATATAGTGGTCCATTTCAAGTGACTCCGTCAAAAGGCGTTGTGGTGATTGGAGCAACCAATTGGGTTGACAACTATAATGTACCTCTATTATCTTCTGATGTCAGTGCCGTTCGCAGAATTGCAAAACGGATTAGTGGAAGAGGTGGAGGGCTCGCTTCGGTACAGGCCATGGCACTTACACATGGTGAAGGAATCATTGAAGTAGCTTGTAATTTGTTGGATCCAAAGAATGTTGGTGGTGAAAGAGTGCAGCAAGAAATTGAACATCTTGCAAAGGAAGAAGGTATTTCTGTGGAAAAGGGATACTACACAGACTTTTCACAGGAAGAAATTGTTCAAAGTTACTTGAAGCTGTTTCGAGAGAGAATTTGATGTAGAAAAATTACTGTCATGTACTCAGAAGGTTTTTTGGCATCTGGTGAATTTTCATTCCGGTGTCAAATTTCTCTTAATTTTAAGAATGATTTAAATTATATACGCTAATAATATAAAAAAAGTTTTATACATGTATTAAATGATATACTGTCACGTCATTTAGTCGGTTGAAATACATGATTTGTTGCATGATTGGGTAATAACTTTTTTTTTTTTTACAAAGATAGTATATAATAATCTTGTTAGAAGTCAATGTCAGAACTATTATAATAGGCATTATTGTTTAACATTTTCTGTCTATTATCTAGAACTAATCAAACATGATCTGTATTATTGTGTGTGGTTTTCCCCATTGATCACCTCTATCCAGCTTAACATGACAATTGGCAAAATTAGCTTTGGTATGCAACATTGAATCAGTCATTATCAATAACCAAAAAACTTTGGTCTTATTAAGCAGTTTTTTGTGTTTCCAAAGATGGAATAGTGCAGTGGTTGGTTTAAAGTTTGTATTGTTATATAATTTAACTTGTGCTAATTAAAATTAGCATAACCAGCTAAGAGGATCCAATTCAGTGGATTAGCCTTATCAATTCTGTGGGCTTACGTGTTGGGTAAGTAATAAAAAAATAAGAAAAGGTTACGGTTTAACTAAACTTTATTAAGTGTTTATTGAAAATGACAGAATGCTCTTTGTTGAGAAATGTATATTTAATACTACAATTTTGTCACACGCTATGACAGTTATATGTTTATAGAAAACTTCTAAAGTGAGCGATGACATATAGAAAACAATTTTGTGAATCAAATTTACAGAATTATATCACAAGAATTTTCTGACTTAACTAGAGATTTTGAATTCGAATCTAGACGATAAGTTTTACTGTCTATTGTGATGTCTCCAACTTCAACACTAGAGAAGCAACATGTGATTCATGCTTTTTTGGAAGTAACTTGTTGTTTTCTTCTATGATGATAATGGGTGACGTGGTGCCACGTGGGGACAAAATAATATTTGGAGTGTAGCATATAAATATGATAGTTCCATATAATACTCCCCACCTTGGACACGAACTCCAGCCATTTCAAGTTGGTTTATGTTAAATTCTCGTGAACACAGGTTGAGCTGTAGGAAGAAGATCACCATGGCTTTCAATTATGCTAGCAAGGTCAGAAAGAAAACCTGTTTCATTATCTTTTTCTTTATCTCATTACACCATAGTTCATACTAATTTGTTACTGCTGCTGCTAATTTTATTGACTACTTAACTGATTAAACACAGATTATACTTAATTTGTAGTTCAACTTTCCCCTTTTATTCTTTTTCAACAATGAATCTGCAAGTTTTTCTTGAAGTTTTTTTCTTCAATCATGCTCTTCTTTGAATATCTATCCTCTAGAACCTACTTGAATTGAATATCTGGCTAAAAAACTCACGTGTGTTAGAAATTGTGGATAAGAATTTTTTTTGTGGTACAACTACTTTTGTTATAATAATTAATGATGATGATAATAATAATAGCATTTGACAGTGACTCACATGGTGTGGGATTATGGTGAAATAAGTTTTGTGACATGTTGGATCGAACTCTAGTATGGTCGAAGTCTGTTCGCGAGTAATGCGTGTTGTAGTCGAAGTTTGTTCTAACATGCATTAGTCAATATTGTTAGGGTTGTTAGCATGTTGAATTGGGTTTTGCTTGTAAGCTCAATTGTTTAAGTTAGCTTGTAATGGATAATTGTTAAAAAGTCCATTAGGTTAGTGTGCTATTTTTCTTATAAATAGGATACTAGTTTCTCAATCTTGTCATAAGGAAAAATAGGAAGATAAAATCCTAATTTCAAAAGAGAGAGGTTATTTTGTTATTCTTGTATACTTGTAATCTTACTCTAAGAGAAAGGAAAGAATAGCAGTTTAATAACCAATCCTTGTTGTTTTCTTCTTTATTAACCTTAACCCTCGTGTGTTTCTTGATCATTAAGAAACCGTTTATACTTAGTTTTACAGTATCCGATTCACAACAAATTGGTGCGGTGAGCGTGGAGGAGATGCCTTCAACAAAGTATGAGATTGAAAAGTTCACCGGAGTGAACGACTTCGGTCTGTGGCGCTTGAAGATGAAAGTCCTATTGGTTCAGAAGGGTTGTTTGGAATCTGCGTTAACGGCAAAAGAAAAGACAGGCATGATCGAGAAAGCCCACAGCGCAATATTGTTGAGCCTTGGTGATAAGGTTCTTCGACAGGTATCAAAGGAGACTACAACATTAGGATTATGGGTGAAACTTGAAAGTTTGTACATGACCAAATCTCTGGTGAATCGACTCTACCTGAAGCAAGCTTTATATTCATTCAAGATGAGTGAAGACAAAGTGTTGGTTGAGCAGTTGGATATATTCAACAAGCTGATTCTTGATCTTGAAAATGTTGATGTGAAGATTGATGATGAAGATCAAACACTGTTGTTGTTGTTGTGTGCTTTGCCCAGAACACATGCTCACTTCAAAGAAACTCTCTTGTATGGAAGGGAGTCTCTGACCTTTGAAGAAGTTCAATCAGCCTTGTATTTTAAGGACTTGAACGAACGAAAGGAGCATAAACCTTCGACGGTGGGCGAAGGTTTGGCCGTTAAGGGAAAATTCTTGCAAAAGGATTGTAAGTTCGACAAGAAGAAAGGTAAAAGTCAACAAAAGTCTTATAGTGGCGAAACATCTAGTATTCGATGTTATCACTGAGGAGGGTCACATAAGAAAGGTGTGCCCTGAGCGCCTGAAAGATCATGGAGGTAATGGCAATGCAACCATTGTTCAAGATGACTTCAACTCAACTAATGTTCTTGTGGTTTCAAGTGGCGACTCGAGAAAAGAGTGGATTATGTATTCAGGTTGCACTTGGCACATGACTCCAAACAGAGAATTGTTCGAGGAGCTATGTGATCAAGATGGTGGATCTGTGCTGCTGGAAAACAACAAATCTTGCAAAATTGCAGGTATTGGATCTGTGAGATTCAAGCTCCATTATGAGTCAATAAGGTTATTGACTGAAGTCAGGTACGTACCTGACTTGAAGAGAAATTTGATTTCTCTTGGTAAATTCGACAGAAAAGGATACGTTTTTCCAGGAGAGAAAAGTATCCTAAGAGTCATGAAGGGGTGAATGAAGTCTTGAGAGACGTGAAGAAACAAGACTTGTATACTCTTGAGGCCGAGGTTGTAAGTGTTTCGACAAATGTTGCATCCACGAAATCTATGTCGAAGGCAGAATTATGGCGCATGAGATTGGGTTATGTCAGCGAAAAAGGTCTGGTCGAATTGGGGAAGCAGAACCTGCTAGGAGGTGACAAAGTCGAAAAGTAGGAATTTTATGAATCTTGTGTATTTGGTAAATCCTGTAGGGAGAAGTTTAACAAAGGCAAGCAAAGAACACATAGATCCCTGGATTACATTCATGCTGATCTTTGGGGGATTGCAAGGAATCCTTCACACTCAGGTGCAAGGTATTTTCTATCCATCGTTGATGACTATTCTAGAAAGCTATGGGTATTCATTCAGAAGACGAAGGATGGAACTTTTGAGAATTTCAAAAGTTGGAAGATTATGGTCGGAACTCAAATTGGCAGAAAGGTTAAGAGGTTGAGAACCGACAATGGCCTTGAATTCTGCAACGAAGCGTTCAACAGTTACTGTGTTGAGTCTGGGATTGCAAGGCATAAGACTGTAGCAGGTACTCCTCAATAAAATGGCTTAGCTGAGAGATTCAATCGAACAATTCTTGAAAGGGTTGGATGCATGTTGGTTAGTGCTGGATTGAAGAAGGTGTTTTGGGCGGAAGCTGTTTCGACAGCAGTTTACCTGATAAATAGATATCCCTCGATTGCCTTGGGAATGAAGACACCTTAAGAAGTTTGGTCGGGACATCCACCTAGTCTCGTTAGACTGAAAGTATTTGGCTGTGTGGCCTATGCTCATATTAGGCAAGACAAGGTCGAACCTAGAGCTCTGAAATGCATGTTCATGGGATACCTTGAAGGAGTCAAAGCTTATAGGCCATGGTGCCTAGAGCCAGGTCACAAGAGGTGTGTCACCAGTCGAGATGTAGTTTTCAATGAAGCAGAGATGGATTTCAAGAAAGAAGGTATCGACTTCAATGATGTGTTCTCTCCTGTTGTGAAGCACAGATCCATTCGAATGTTGCTTGCCATGATGGCCCAGTTCAACCTTGAACTGGAACAGATGGATATGAAGACTGCGTTCTTGTATGGTGATCTAGATGAAACAATCCTGATGAGGAAACCTGAAGGGTATGTCGAAAGGGGGAAGGAAGATTATGTGTGCAAAATGAATAGATCTTTATATGGACTGAAACAATCTCCTCGACAGTGGAATATGAGATTCGACAAGTTCATGGCACACATAAGTTTCATCAGAAGTCAGTTCGACCACTGTGTTTACTTTAGATTTCGACCAGGTAATTTATTTGTTATTTTATTGCTCTATGTGGATGATATTCTAATAGCAAGCAACAATGTCGAAGAGGTAATGAGGGTGAAGGCTGAACTCAATAAAGAGTTCGACATGAAGGATTTGGGAGCTGCGTCCAGGATTCTTGGGATTGACATTCGGAGAGATAGAAAGCAGTCAAAATTATGCTTATCTCAAGAGGCATATCTACAGAAGGTTCTCGAAAAGTTTGGCATGTCGAATTTAAAGCCTGTTGTGACTCCGATAAACCCTCAATTCAAGCTGAGTATAGACCAATGTCCCAACAATGATGTTGAAAGAAATTATATGAATAGCATTCCATATGCTAACATAGTAGGTTCTTTGATGTATGTTATGGTATGTACTAGAGCCGACATAGCATATGCAACTTTTGTCAAAGAAAGAAAAATAACTAACTCCAAGTTAGTTATCAAGTTGTTAAATAGTTAGTTACAGTTGCTTGCTCTATAAGCAACTTCATCTTATTGTATAAATTGAGATTTTGAGCAATGAGAAACTCATTTACCACTTTCCTCTGATTGATCTTAATAATTTTTAGTTGCTTAGCTTGAGTTTTAATATGGTATCATTAACTTGTGACCAACTTTTTCCTATTCCGCTCTAATTGGCTCATCAATCTCAATTTCCTTTTTCTTCTTCCTTGATTCGATCCTTTCTTATTCTTTGTTGTGTTCATCATGTCTGTTGCAAGCTCTGCAAGCAGCACTAGTGGCGGATCCTCGTCGCACGCCAATCAAAGGTTATCAAATTGACACTCTCAATCTATATTTCATGCATCCCAATGAAAATCCAACTTTAGTTTTTGTTCTCCCTTACTCTCAAGCAACAATTACCATTCTTGATTGCACTATGGCACTAAGATCCATGAACAATGGTGGTTTGCCTCGACCTCCAGATGAAGATCATAACTCAGTTGCTTGGGACCGATGCAACACCATAATTATGTCATTCAGTTGAATCAGAGATAATACAAAGCATTTTGTGGATGAATAATGTTGCTGAAATGTGAAATGAGTTGAACGATAGGTTCATACCAAGGAGATGTTTTCATAATTTTTTGATATTCAAAAAGATATTTGCACTTTGAAACAAGGCGATTCTTTCATTTCTTCTTACAATACCAATCTCAAGAAACTGTGGCAAGAATTGGACAATTTTCGTCCAATTCCTGAATGTTCTTCTGATTCCACTTGCCAAGCAATTGTCAAAATACGTGCATAAAAAGATGGCGATCAAGTTATTAGATTTCTCAAAGGTTTGAATAATCAATACTCAGTTGTTAGATCACAAATCATGTTGATGGACCCTCTCCCTAACATTTACAGAGTTTATTCCTTGCTTGTTCAACAAAACAGACAAGCCATTCTACTACTTGATGAGTCAAAAGTGTTAGCTCTTTCAAGTCCTAATAAGAATCAGAACCCTCATTTCAAATCTAATTCCAATTATCGTGGTAGAGGAAATCCTAGAGGTGGCATGTATTTTGATAGTCGAGGAAGAGGTATTCGAGTTTGCACTCATTGTGGCATGACCAACCACACAAGTGATTCTTTCTTCAAAAAACATGTTTTTCCCCTACATTGGAAGCAAGATGATGCAGTAAAAAAATAATGCAGCTATAACAGATAAAGTAGAGGAGCATCAAGCTGAGTTCGATGAAGAAAATGA